GCGAAAAAGTCTTGGGACGAAAAGTGATGCAGTCGGCCAGAAAAGAGCAGGAAATGAAAATATAGAAGACCCAAAGACAGACGCGACATTAAAGGGTGGAGATCCTGTGGGGTTGGGGTGGGGAGCGCCTGAATGTAATTGCTCGATCGTTTTCTCGATAAAAATCGAATATTCCCACGGCGAACCGTTTATACCTCTCGAGATTTTTCCACCCTACAACCTTTCTTCTTCATTCCTCAAAATAAAGATACGATCAGAAGATAAATTCTTCTTCTTTATGCTGTCTTCCCTTGAACGATTATCAAACGTTTTAACCTTGTCGTGGTTTTGCATTTTGAACTGGTCTATGTAAGAGAATATTCCGATACGTTCGTCTTTTCCATGTTTTCTTAACCTCTTAACACATTTGTAACTAGCAATTTAGTTCTACGTCATTTTAAAATCTTTAGCTGTGTATCGGTAACGTAGTTATACGTCAGTTCAAAATCTGTAGCATTCATCACCCGTTTCTCTTTAATAAGATGATTATTATCTTGATTTTCAATTTTTTTTAGGGCATAAGAATTGAAATTTATAGGGTGGTTTTGTAGTTATGCCACATTGTGTACGCACAGTGAGAGTCAAAAGTGGGTATACACTTTGGAAGTATCGGATTCATTCATATTTATTTCTCTCAATTTAGAATCTAACATTTCACGTAGATGCTGTATTAGATTGAGAGCTGGTGACTGTATAGAAGATCGTAACTGGTTGTAAGTGTTTTCCAGCAAACAATTTCCAATCACCACGTCCAATCACAGTGTCCATGCTGCCCCAAACCATAATAATACATTCACCATGTTTAACGATATTTACAAAATTTTCTGGTTATATCTTCGAATTTCTTTTTTCTGAATTTTTTGGCTGCCTATTTATCCCGAAAATGTTAAGAAAATTTTAGTGATAGAAGAAAGAAATACTTAGTTTTTACTCTCACTGTATATAATACAATATCAGACTTCGTGGGGACAGATGTTTGAAGTGTTTGTGGAGAGGAAGGATTAAATTGAAGTCTTTAAATACAAAAAAATATAATGAAGTAAAACAAAAATTAAACCTAGTTACAATACAGTTGTTTTTCTATTTTACAATACTCGTTTCAGTTATTCTTGTCTGTTTCATAATATAATCGTGACGGTGACCTTGCGTTATTTTAAACTAGCGATGTAGCTGCTACAGTTTTCAAAGGAGACTAAACTTTTGCAAAGACTGCAGACGGTAAAGTTGCTTAAGTTGCGTTAGTAGGACACTGTAGCCGTTAATGCGACTATAAATAAGAGAAGAAGTGGAAAACTCCCAGAACACGCATTTAGAATGCAAAATTTTGAATTACTTGTTGAAATGTTAGATATCGTTATGTAATCTCAAGGTTGTATGGACAAAAATATTACAATTACATAATGTACATAAAATATTTCTAATATTATTTTCTAATATCGTTAGTAGCGTATCCCTTATAATAGCTTTTCGAATACATGAATGGGTCAAAATTGACTTGTCAGTATAGGTAGGACAAGAACTAAATGTAAAGAAGTTTGAAAATAAATTAAACGATCTAATCGAGATTTGTCTCGATTGTTAATTTTGGTAAAATTCATAGAACGAAGAAGTGTCGTTATATCTTACATTTAATTTAGTAAAATTCATAGAACGAAGAAGTGTCGTTATATTTTACATTTAATTCGTTCACTGGATTGTTAACCGCTATTTTCAGTATTATAAAATTTTATTGTATTAAAACGTACGCTGGAAAGCATGACTTTTGACCCATCAATTTTTAAAATGCATTACGAAGCTCTACACAATAGAAGTCTAAACAAAATGTGTGTTTTTCCGGCGATCATATTTCCTTTTTCGAGGGAATTCGTTCGGTTAAAAAAATACCATCAACGTGGAAACTTTGGCAAATATTTTTTGTGTTAACAGTTTTATTTAATATATATATATCGATTAACAAATGTAATTCTAGCGTATTATATATTATATAATATGTGTGTTGTTAAGATGTGGCAGTTTCACGAAAGAAAAACACATTTCGACGATTCTTGACGCTCCTCTTACGAGATCTCTGTTCCTCTTCGTGGTGCAATATTGGAGGCATTGTTTAAAAAAGCGGCAGCCTTAACACTGGAGACTAGTGACGCTTGAGTGCACTTCGTAGGTCGGAGTCCCAGTTTCATTTTTTCCCTCCGGCGTTCTCAAAGTCGCCTCACCTTTCCCAGAGATCCGTATTTCGCTTGGAAAACTTAAGAAAACTGGGTTACTTTTTATCACGATTCGGTAAAAGTTATTGTTATTATATAATTTAACTGGTCCCAATATAAGAACATTATGTGTTATTTTTTAATCCATTGATACTTTCTGAGGAAGACAATTTACTGAGGGTAAAACTAAAATAAACATAACTATCGTAATTCTCTTTCTCTTTAAAAATCATATATAGTTATTTACTAACACTGTGTTATTTAAAAATTAATTACAAAATTGTTGTGTTGCAAGATTCGCTATCTGGGACTTCTATTAAATCATCGAACTTGCGAAAGATATTAAATGGAAGACAATTGAATCAAGTTATATAAAATTCGATTAACATGGGAATATAAGTAAGATTTGAAACGTTTGTTCACATAACTCCTCATTTTGACGAATTAAAAGCGTCATTTCTGCGAGTAATATCGAAATCACGTTAATTTAATAGCGACAAGTCAGAACGAAAATTCGCGTGTTTCATTGAAATGAATTTGTCGTTAAAACACGTATGTAGAATAAACAGAAACAATTCATTTTTATGTACATTGTTTTTGTGTTCTGTGTGATATCGAAACATTTCGTTATTTATAGTATGTATTTTGTGTCTGCTATTCACGTAATCGTGTTGGGAAATAAATCAAATTACGATATGGAGAATTGAAAGATGTCGTCTATCATACTAAGGTAAACGTATGAAGTAAAATGTATATTAAAAGTGTTATTGGTACCATTTATTGCATCAGAAAAAGTAATACGTTTAAAAATGTGTGCTGATTGAAAAAAAATAGCCAATATTTTCTTCAATATTTGTAGAAAATTGGATTGGAAATTAATGTAATGACCATCTGACCATCTATCCTGTGACTCTGAAGAGATAAAAATATAAAATAACCTATAGAAAATGCAAACACTTAAGTATCGACCAACTTTTTATATCTACTGTAATTGTAGGACCAATAGAAATATTTATAGATGTTCCTCTGTTTTTATTTCCTCAGGTATTCCACAAATTTATCCGAAATCATTACTTTTACTATTACCATTCTTTATTATGTAGTTTAATTGCACAGTACAGCCACGACATAAAGCCTAAATTTACAACACCGCATAAAAGGCGAACATCAGTCGAATTACTGACATTCAACTCTGGAACTACCAGATCTCATCAAAATAGCGAGTCTCAAATTCCTTCTTTAGTTACAGAAATCATAAAAGTGTTTTCGTCAGAATTTATATTTACCTATTTTCCATTCGTTATATGTTTTATATTATACTATATTATATTATATTTAACAATTTATTAAACAACGAACGTTGATACTTCCTGTGTTAAATGAAACTTCCAAAAACGACCTATTTTTCATTCTTTAACAGCACCCTTATCACGAACATTGAAATTCTCTATTTTCATACATCTCAGTTCGTCGCTCCAGAGTTAAAAGAGAAATGGAAATAAAATTCTTCTCCTCGTTCCGGCGTTGATGGAAAAGCGAGCGAGTATCTTGACAAAGAACAATAGGTAAAACAAGATCCCGTGAAAATGAATGTTTTCTTGACATTTCGTTCCCCTTTCAGAGAACGAGGATCTTGTTTACGAGGCCATGGATCCCCCTGCAGGTCCGTATTCAAACGTTTCGTGGCCAGATATCGTTGGACCGTGCGCGTTGACCCGTCCCGATAACAAAAACACCGAATGGACCCTCGGTACGCTGATTTCCACTCGGATAAAAAATGTTCCAGTCTCTCGATATCCATGGGTCGAGGCACTAAACCCAGACCATCTTTTTGCCTCGAGGCGGAATCTCGACTCTTTTTTTTTTTTTTAATTTTTACTTTACTTACAAAGAAACTTTGATACATCAAATATTCCGGTATTTTTTAAACTTTACAGATTTGTAGGAAACCTCAATCGAAGTATCGGGCAATCTTTCGTTTTTGAAGATATTCGATTCTTTAAGGTGAAACGTCCACTCAAATATTAATGTGGGTTTTCATATTTTCCTGAATATCTTGATAATTGTAGTAGATTTCAAGAAACTGTTAAAATAAAAATTTAATAGCTTGCTATGGTCTATAAAAGTGTACAATAAAATTTTTTTGAATTTCATTTTTAAATAAATAAATAAATGAGCTCACAAGTTTTTAACAATCTGATTACACACTTTTATAAACCATAAAAAGCCATTGAATTTTCATTCCAACAGGTTTTTGGTATCTACTACAATCTTCAAGGTATACCTACAGGAAAATAGGAAAACACACGTTAATGTTTAAGGGGTGGTTTCACCTTGAAGAACCGAATATCAGCAGAAACGAAAAATTGCCAGATGCTTCTATTGTGGTCTTCTACAAACCTGCGAAGTTAAAAAAAAATCGGAATTTTCGGGGTACAAACCTGAGACGTTTTCTTTACTTCTTTGTGATTCGTATTCGACGTTATTCAAAAAGAAGGTGACTGGTGGAAATATCTTCAGTATATCGTTGGCAGTCAGTTCGTTCATATAAATATTCCTGTGTGATTCTGAAGTGTCTCAGCTGTTTGTATTTCCAGTACGTAGTGGGGTTTTCTCTGTCCGTTTTCATCATCCTAAAAGATGATTTACCTCTCCGTGTATCAGAATTACAGTTCGACCCCCCCCCCCTCCTTGGGTTAAATTGTCGAGCGACTTTTATCAAACTTAGGAAATAACATGTCCGTTGGTGTGTTCCAGGTCGTAATCGGAAATTATGAGGTGGCTGTGGATTATCGTCCTGATAGCTCTGGCGCTGCCGGCGGCCGTGCCACGGAAGACGCATCGCAGCAAACCCAGTAAAGTATCATTTATTTCAATCGGTTCTACCTTCCATTTTTCCTTCCTCCCACACACACACACACACACACATACATTTTGTTTTTATACCAGGGCGGAATCTGCGCGAGATAACTGGATTTTCGATAACTTTTTTTTGTAGCATTTTCGGTTATTACTCGGATAATTCGAGGCATGGATTTACGTAAGAAAAGTGATACTTAGGGGAGGAAATACATTCCATACGGTGGCATATAATTTATGGTTAGGTAATATGGTTTTTTTACTGGGGAATTCTATTGTTTCTGAAGAAGTACGTAAGTGAATATTAGGCTGTGGGTGATTTATATAAAGCGTTTTTGTGGAATCTTAATCTGCAAAATGCAATGATTTAAAGAATTTAATTACGATCGATAATGTTACAGGACACAGATGCATTTTGTGGCATACGTGATTGTTTAAAACTGAGTACAGTAGGAAGTTTGATAAACTGTATTGTTAATTTATTTGGAACTTGATCGACCCCTTAACCCTTTTGTACTGTTCGGGTCAATACGAACCGAAGCTAGTGTGCGATTGTTAATTATATTTTATGTTACAGAAACTTGTAAATTACTTTGATATAATTTGATTTTACTTTACGAATTTAATTCAAATCCAATTTAATTCAAGGAACAGTAATGCACTAGTTTCTTGAACAGTGCATGAGGGTTAATAGGATAAACAAATTTTTTTTATCGCAGTCGATGACGACCCATATTTGCAGAAACGTTCACGTCCCAGCAGTATTTAAATAAAGTGTTAAAAGTTTAATATTATTAGTTGACTCAGCTTTCCCTTTCATGATAAGACATATTATGAAAGGTATAATACTGTATCAAAGGAGTTTTGTTTCAAGTTATATAGAGACTACGTCAATAGCTTCTTGTGTCAACTTTGGAAACTAAAGGACGTCGTACTACGTGATCGATCATGGAAGTGTTAACATAATGGCATTGTGATCGAATCAATGACCTTTTCCGAGGACTGTAATTCTTTTTTCATTGAAAGATATAACATTAATCTCAGTTTCACATTTCATTGTGTATATTGACTTCTCGTATACATATGCAAACGTACGTATTCTATTAATTACGACAGTTATCTATACGTAGTTATTGTACTTATTTTTTTCTTAAACGTTTCCCTTTTATCATTAAAGTATACTTTCATTTGAATTATTGGAATTAAAGAGTACCTGATTTTGAATTATTCAAATTAAAGAATAATTTATCTTGAATTATTGGAATTAAAGAATACTTCATTTTAAATTATTTGAATTGAAGAATAATTCATTTTGGATTATTGGAGGTAAAGAATTATTTATCTTAAAGTATTCTTTAATTAATTCATCATTCAACTCATAAATGATTCACTTTGATTCGTAGAGCAGACTTAATACTACTATCTTGTCAATCGTTCAATATTTATTTTACAATTCAGAGAGTCGTGAAATGTAACTGGATATCATATCCTTGTGGTCGACCTGGAATTGATTTCAATCCGATCAGGTACGGGGAGTGAAGTGTTTCATCGCAGCAGTGGAGGGTTAAATTGGTAGAGTTAAATGGAACGCTGTGGACAGAGTTTATATTGGGAACTCCATTGTTGATGGAGAAACAGGCCACGAAAGCCTTGTAACTCTCATTCAGACATCCAAGTACAGAATATACCTATCAACTAGATAGATAGAAACAACTATCCGGTGTATTTATGAGTTACGCTGGATGCTTCTGAATTGTCGATAGAGACTGAAATAGTTAACAATAACTCACCGACAAATATCAAAGTTTTATTGAAATTCTGTAACATACACACAATAAGAAAAAGGTACTTTGTGATTTGTACGGAATTACAAAGACTGAGGGACGATTTCTATAAAGAAAAGATAAAATTACTTTCCTATGAAATGATTATTTCCTTCGAAAATAATTTTACCCTCTCCAAGGACCAATTTATTAAGACCAGAAAAATAACGTTTTTTTATTTTTCAACTGTATTCAGTTAAAATATATTTGTACATATTAACGACAATCAATTGGCAGAATATTTTTTTTTTGTTAAAATGAAAACAATACGAAAGAATTTCCTTAGAAAATAATTCTTCTTCCAAAGTAATTTTTCCGTTGATCTGTTCCTTCGTTAATTAACATTCTTCTAAAAATTCAAACAAATCCATCGTTTCCTTGCTCTTCAATGAAACTTCTACTTTAATCCTTTAATCCATTTTGAAATAGTGATATCGCTTCAGTGGTTCCCCATAAACCAGCAATTACCCGACACTTAAACCACTCGTGAAATCGACAGATCTACATCGTGCGATCCGTGGACGGGCCGCGCAAGCAACGATAATTTGATCTCCCTGTAAATTGTCCCGAGTACCCTAATTTATCGGTCGGCCCCCACGAATTTCCCGGGATCAAATGTTATCCACTTGTATCCAGATAAAATCTCGGCGCGAACAATCTCTGACCCTAATTTAACATTTGGACAGTCGCGTCCCCTCTCTGGCTCAGCGTCGGAGCCAAACTGAATAGACCCGCTCTCAAGTTGGGGTCAAATGCTGGATCCTACTTACGGAGGGCTCGAAACAAAGTTCCAGGAAATTATTCATCGGTCGGCAGACATTTATCCTCCTACCCCTTCCCACCTCGCAAACTAACTGGGACAGTTCCGTTGAACAAATACAGGAATTTTCATGAAGATCGGAGCCACCGTTTTCGCGGGACCCATAAACCTTTGCCAACCTGGTGAAGTATATGGAATCGTTCACTACCACCACCACCACGTTCTCGATAAGAGTGTCGCGAACTTTCGGAATGTAGAATGCAAAATATTTCTTTACTGATTCTACATGAATCATAGTATGCATATTTCTTGCACGAGACCTTCGTTAACTTTTCACTTCAAACATTTATTTAATACTAGAACTACCAGCGTTAACACTATATAACGTCTATAAAAAATTTGTTATTCTTTGTTTTCGTATTTATTATGAACCTATAAATTCTAAAATACATCTAGAAATTTCGGGGTTACTTTTTTTTCATTTTTTGAGTATCTCCATAAATATTCTACTTTCTGTACTATATACGTTGTAACCGAACGTTACGAAAACTTCGTGCTTGGCGTTATAGGGTTAAATGTATATTAAATTAAAGTATATAATATATTGATATTTATAATATAGGGGGTGTCCCATCCAACATGAGCACCTCTAATATCTCATTTGTTTTTTATAATAGTAAGAAGTGCGAAGAATCGGTTATGAAAAATGGTTTGAAAGGGGTAAATATTGTTACAAACAAAAAATGTTCTGGAGGTCATATTTTCCGAAATTTCAAAGTCATCGATATTTTTTTTAAATCCAATGATATATTTTTTTTGTCGCGGTGTAATAATGTGAGATCAAGACTACCCATGATCTATAATAGTACGACCTTCATGTGACCTAGATTACGAAAAATTTAAAAATGTATGGGAATAGATTAAAATAATAGATTTTAATAAGATTACTAGAATAAAGGGATTAGTACAAAAATGTATCGAAGTTGATGGACATCGCTTTAAGCATTTGTTAGAATATAAAGTTTAGCAACAATTTATTACTCGAAGAAATCGGATAATTGGGGAAATATTGGCAGGTCACGATCTATAATATATGTACTCTCGAGCGGAATGGTGGATCACGTGTGGCGGAATGACGGATAACAATGTGAGAGCAGAGTAATAGCGATTGAGAATACGCGGCGAGGGGTAAGGAGCCGGATGGAAGATTCGAAAGCAAACAGGTGACTTCACAGAAAAGAAATCTAGATCCTACGGATATGCGGGTGCCCGATACCTTCGAGAACTGAGGATTTTTATCGGATTCAGGTCGAGATCCCGAAAGTTTTTCAACGCGTACCGTACACATATTTAAGTGCACGGGATTCGATTCAGAATTTTATCCGATGGACTTATACAGTAATCGAGGCGTCTCGTGACTTTCAAGGGAAATTCGTGTCTTTGATAATATTCATGGTCCACGATTATAAATTTGATACAAGCGATTAAGAATGGTTAGATAAATTATTGGAGTTAAATTCTTTCAGTTGAATTAACTTTTGTTAGGATTATAGACAAATAGTAAATTATACTTATAAAATATTTATATTCTTGGTCACCTTCTGTTAATTTTACGAAGTTGACAATAGTTCAGAACTTTTATTAAAGCCTATCAAGATTCTTATTCAACTACATTTTGGACACTTGCACGTGCTATAAATGCATTAAATCGACAGGCTAATTATTATTTTAATAAACACATTTGGTATCGAATAATCTCTATTCACGAACCAGTAAATGTTAGTGTACTTCTTGGAGATTGGATAATCTTTACATGCAATATTTCTTTTATACACGTTATGCACGAACCTATTTCTCTTCGTAACAGACTTATTTCAAAATTATAGTGATTGAACGTACCAGATTAACTTGTCTGTGAATTAACATTAATTCTAGATAATTAACGTTTTTATTTCCATAGTATTATGTCTCGAATTACAAATTTGTATAAACGCAAGAATTCTTACGTCTGGTATGCAGTGTTTTAATTTCCTCAACGGCAAATGTAGTGAAAATCGAAAATTCGATTTCGAGTCGAATTCATGCGATCAACGTACAAAGGTTAAAAAATAAAGAAACAAAAAAAAAAGTACTTTGAATTATGTTTCATGGAGTACTGGATATAAAGTCAAACAACCGGATGCTTAAGCAGAAGGAAACGCTGTAGTGCTCAGTACGAGTAAAGTGCTCTGTTAGGACACCATGATTAATGTTCGATTTGTGGGCAGCTTCGATTCCCTAACAATGGTTCAAATCTCCTAATGGAGATTGCGGTAGGATTACCATAGTGTAGTATGCAAAATACGAGGACAGCGAGACCAAGAAACTGAGCACTCGAGACGATCAAACGTTAGAAATTATTGGACATCTGTGTCTGTTCACTGCAATCTTATCGTATAATGATAATAGTATGTATGATTGCACTTTCAATGTATCTATATTTTCAAAATATTATTTTATATACAAATTAACCATTTGCAATTCCACTGCGGTTACTATGGTGAACTACATTCATCTAAATCATGAGAATTTCTTGAAATGGATACAAAACTTTTTATGTAAACGTAAGAATAATTTCTTCAATCAACTATGCATTTTCCATTATGTACTTCGTAATATATCACTCAAACAATATGGTCTGTCTTCGGAAAATTGTAGTGATAGTAATATTAAAATATCACTTTGAGAATTCTTAATACTTGTGATTCAACCCAATAACTAACAAATGTAACAACAAACCTTTTCAATTCTCTTTGGGAGTTGATTCTTGACTCTTTGGGGATTGTTTACTCCATTCGTTGAGTACTATAAACACCTACAGACCCACCAAATCCTCTTTCTTGAACACCATATCTCTGTCTGCCAATGATAATGGGACAATTCAAAAGATGTAAATTTCAGAGTAGAGGTTTTTTAAAATTTACATTTGCATAGCTAAGGCCAGGTTAATAGCGTGACGTAACTACCCTCTGACGTATAACTGATGGAATTAAAACTACGCCGTTTCACACAATGAAAATAAAAACATAGACCTTGTATTCAATAAAAGCAAAGTAATTTTTTCAAATTACGCCACTATCAATGCCAAGCAGCAATGTCTCATTTTTACGATACATCAAATTCTCTTCATACAAACAGGTGTCCTAACACTAACGAGCATCAGTCTACTAAAAACACACCTGTCCGTTACGCCCAACTTTTGTAGTGTTACGCCTCCACCTTACATCCATCCGCATATAGAAAAAAAGAAAGTGAGTTCGAGGGGTGGAAATCTGGTAACTGGGCCAATTCGAACATTCTCTTTTACCCATTCCTTTTCACCCGTAACATCGCAAGAAACCTTCCACGCTCGGAAACGCTTCCGCATACGAGATTAAGGAAAACACATTTTCCTAAAGGGGTCGTATTCGGCCCATGGATTCTCTCTGACTTCTTCCCCTCTCTATCCATTGTCTCCCTCTTTTTGATCTTCGGGACGGTTGGAAGGGTAAAGGGTATGAAAATAGAATGTTATTGCCCGTTTGGACGCGGTGCGCCAGTCGATATTCTCGTTTAAAGCGGAACACTTGTCCCAGCGCGAAAAGAGGGGGTGGGGGAAATGGAGCAACGCGTAGAGGTGGATCGAGGACTTTTATTGACAACGAATATATCGGTTATCGAGACGTTGTTGAGAGAAAAACCGTGTTCGCCTCTGCTTTCAGCGCCCCGGCTGTACGGCGAGAGGGTGCCCGTCAAGTTAATCAGGACGAGCAGCAGCAAGGTCCGGCAGAAGATCGTCGATACCCACAATTACTTTCGTAGCCAGGTGAAACCGCCGGCCGCCAACATGCTGGTGATGGTGAGTGCTTTAACGATCCGTTCCCATTAAGTTCTGAACCTGTTCACTTGGGGGCAGGACTAGTTAACTTGTCATTTGTACGTAACTGCTTTTAACCCTTTAACGTCCAGACCCTTGGATCGTTATATTAAAATTATGAGACTGATATAAGTGTGTCTCACGAACTCTGGTCATTTGAATATCTTGGTTATTTTAAACAATACGAGAAAATGTTAGTTACAGTAGTTGTAGGGTTTATGAAACTACATAATATGGTATAAATGGTATTCTTGTAAGTGGAGGCGTAGAGAAGATATAGAGTTTGTTTTTTTAAATGGAATGTCCAATGTTTTATGCTCGATTTTGATAGATTGGTGTATTCTGAGTACAAAAGTTGCTGAGATATTTGACTTTTTTCTATTCGCTGTTTGTTTATAATATATTTGACGTAGTGAGCATAACGTTGAATACGTTCCATAATGGAAGTAGTACAATGAAAAATGGCATTAGACGGTTTTAAAATGTTAAAATGTTTAGGATCGAAAGGGTTAAGTCAGACTCTAACATAAACTTCATAATATCTTATTCACGTTTTTAGTATCAGTTATTTTTTAATAAAAGAAAAGCTCGAGCAATAAGACCGCACTTAACGGTGTTTCCAATTCAAAAACTGCAATTCAATAATGGCGTTTTCTTCGTCAGCCAGCAACTATATTGTGTCACTTGTTCGAAAAGTGGTTAGCATCTCGGCACGAAGTTAAATAAAATCCGAAGTGTTACTCCAAGAAGTGTCCGATTTCGCGTGGAATGACCCAACTGTGGTAAAAGTAAAGATGTTATCAAATGGTAAGAATAAAAAATGGCATTAGACGGTTTTAAAATGTTAAAATGTTCTTGTGAATCGTTTACACGTCGCCTAATATACACAAAAATATTTTCTTATCATATTTTAAATAATTCAGGATCGAAAGGGTTCAGTCAGACTCGAACATAAACTTCATAATATCTTATTCACGTTTTTAGTATCAGTTATTTTTTAATAAAAGAAAAGCTCGAGCAATAAGACCGCATTTAACGGTGTTTCCAATTCAATAATGGTGTTTTCTTCGTCAGCTAGCAACTACATTGTGTCACTTGTTCGCAAAGGGGTTAGCATCTCGGCACGAAGTTAATGCGAAATTATATAACAACGTCAGGGTTCGTCGAACCGGAATGTGATTTCGCGAGATCGAAGGGGACCCAGCTCTCTTGCACCGATGAAATAGTTATCCGATCTGATCGCCGTGAATGCGTCACGGGTTCATAACCCTGAAAGGTGGATGATGCGGATCGTCCGTGGGCCGTTTCAACCCCTTAACCGAGCTTTTTTCACCCCCTTTGAAGTTCGATCGATTTCACTCGGATTCCACGGCGAAATCCCGCGACGGCGGATAACGTCGGTAATTCTCGCGCTATATCCCCCAGATGAAATCGTCCCCGGGATATTCTTTGGTCTTCTTTCTATGGAGATTACGTTCGATTGCGTTTAATGTGATCGGTTCTCACTGGAGATTCCCATTCTGGCGATGGGTAACGTCTGTACGCATTCCTTTCTTTTCTTTTTTTTGTCATTGTTACTTGACTACTTGACACGTGCGCTGTACAGGGTGTCCGATTATATAAAAAAAGACATGTAAACTACTGGAGAACTATCCACTGTGTGAAGAAAGTAGTGGTTTCAAGGGGGACATAATTTGGTGGAATTAGTTTTTTTGTTGATGGTCAGGTTGAGGTCATATGGAAGTGACATACGTTTTTTTTAAATGGAATAATATAGTTTTAGATACAGTAGTCGATCCGTTACGGCATTCTGTACAAAAAAAGTATTAAACTATTTATGTAGGAAAGTCATTAGGTTCGGAGAAAATTTAGTCTCGATATTGCAAAGTGATAATAGTAAGTAGGCATGTCGTGCACCTTTCCTGAAATGACAGTCGTTTTGCAATATATATTGAGATTAAAATATCTCCAACACTAATGATAATTCGACAAAATGTGGTGAACAGTTTTTATAAGGAATGCTGAGACGGATCGATTGCTGTATTAAGAACTATATGATTCTATTTAAAAAAAACGTATGTCACCTCCATGTGATTTCTACCTGGACATTTACAAAAAAAACTAATTACAGCAGATTATGTACCTCTTAAAATTATTCAATTCTTGTCTAAACCATTTTTTTATTCAGTGGATAATTTTCCAGTAGTTTGCATGTTTCGTTTACAATCGGACACCCTGTATATTCCCTTTCATGGTAATTATAAAACATATAGTTACAATCCCAAAATCGTCAATTTATGCAGGGGCTTTAATAATTTAATCACTGTAGGTGCTTCCGAACGTGTCTGACTAGTATGTCTGACATCAACTGACTAATTCTACTTGGAATTACTGTAGACAGTATGTATTACGTTATTACCTGTTTTTCACTGATCTAATTTTCTTAATTTAAAATATATATAAATTACAAGCGAAAACCAATGATATACTACTGTCAATGATTATAAATGACATACTATACACGAATAACAAGATACTTAACGGGAGATTCTAGTGTAACAAATTTAAAAAATAAATTTTTCGTTTGCACAAATCAAAATTACATTTCTAAAATATACTCGCAGCGCATAAAAACTCGACACGATTGTGCACTTCTGTAATAAATAATAGAAAAATGTTATCAGTAATTTAAGAATGTCTCCGTATATCCGAAGATAGTTTATTCCCATATTATCAATACTTTCCTCAAGAAAAATTCATAAAAAATCACTTGCTGTTACACTAAAATCTCCCCTCAAGACCTTGTGCCCCAGTTGGATGTTTTAACTCGATTTCCTAAAAAAATACGTACGTGCAGTGAGTGCATAAAATTCACCGTTCAATTATTATTCTTTCGTTTCTCCGGAATTTTCCAGCCGAGTGTATCGTTGCATATTATTACTTCTGTCGTCTGTATCGATCTCCCGTTAAGCATTCCCTAGTTTTCGTTAATGGTCCGAGCGTGTTTGGAATTACTCTCGCGCAATGAGCGCTATCGGGTCGCAGGATTTCCCAGAGCCTCTCCAACGGCGAAAAGAAACTGGAAACCGATGGGTTTTATCGCGAGAATGGAAATTACTTTCGGATCATGTTTATCCCGGTGAAACTGGCATTAAACTTTACGCACGAACTGCAGTTTACATAATCAGAATGCCGGAACTATTTTACCTATAAACAATGTCGTTTCCCTGTCCCCCCCTCACGATTTTATAGCCCGGTTTTGGTAATACACTAGAAGTTTCGCTTGGACATATTTCGATGCTGTATGTACCCGAGTAGACGCCTGGACCTCGTGGATCCTGTGAAACGTCTCTTCCTGAATTTAATAAATTCATAATTAACCCTCGCATGGTGGTTCATATATACCCGAGTTTTTAAAAGCGCCATCTAACTAATGAACCTATGAATCGTATTTAAACTAGGAGTTATTGATATTAAGTCATATAAAAAAGCAGGTTATCTTGAATGATTGCGTTCGAACATAATGCATAAAACGTAGGAAGTATTAGGGGTCTAAACGGACCCCAGCACTGCTGCTGTACGAGCATTAAAAACGTTCCTTTCTGAGAGTTAACTGGTATACAATGTGTGTCCCAAAAGTAATGAGAATGACGTTCGAGGAAATCCTTTTATTCCAAAGAATAAACTATTAGGTTTGATCATTTTCAAAGTAAGTCCCTTGCGACTGAACGCAACGATTCCAACGAAGCTGCCATTCTTCGTAGCAGTGGATGTAGTCTTCGTGTCAGAGGCGTAATTGTAACACCATCGCATTTAATCAAAATTAACGTGTAGGATGAATAGCTTTCGAAAAAATTCCAGCGTTTTTCCGCGAGAATTCTGCCGCTTTCGGCGCAGCTCGCGCGTGTATTCGACGTCGACATAATTTCCCACCGTTCGCTCCGCGCCGGTTACGAAATTTCGATGCGCGGCTACGTCTCCGTGAGGAGATGAATTTAATGGATGGATTCTGCGCGCGCTCGGGCGATACCCGTATACATTTTTATGAGACCGTTTAAAATGCAACTTCTCCCGCCCACAGTATCGGTGCTGGTTAAATTTCGATTTTTTTTTTTTTCGTGTACGACGTCCGTGTAAACAAGTTAACAGCGGAAACGTTGTCTCACCTTTCATCTTCAATAATTAACGATCGTTGACTCGAAGGTGAATATCGTGCAGGAAAAATGATTTTCTTTTTTATTACATTTACCAATGAGATAACATATTAGATATATTAATAAGTTATCCACTATATTTTGTCAAATGCAATAGTTATTTTCGAGGAAATTGGAACAGTTTATGCTGTTTCAGTGGTATTTGTCCTTATTTTTTAATGTTCGTCGCCATTTTGAATGGAGAGGAGGGTAGAAAGATATTTTAAATTTAAATTGTGGGACAAGTTTATTAAAAAGGTATAGTGGATTCCTTATTGGAACGTTTCATATGTATTCCATATGTAGTGTAAAGTTTCGAGTTTTCGTGGCTGGGTGATCAACGACTAATTTACTTATTTATTTATTATTAATATTATCTCAATTATTCATTAATTTCATTATTTATTCACTACTAAAATTATCTCAATTACATATTAATTTACTCGTTTATTTACTATTACAAAACAGTATATCTACACAAGATAATTTCTCAAATGAATTTGTTCAGTACCACAGTGATCTACTCAACAATACGATAGCTATTCACGTACACCGTATACAGTAACAATATGTATAGAAATTTTTACTTTTTCCAAAAAAGTCGATAATCTCGACCAGAGTTCATTTCAACGATAACGCAAACGCTCGATGTTCATAACCGATGAACATTTTATAACCAAAAATAATGCACCTCTGTCTTCGTGTGTGTAAAATGTACCGGAATTCTTCTCCTGCGTGGATTTTTATATAAAATTCATCCGATTCACGGGGCGTTTAAAAACACCGTTTCGCAATCGAGCGATAATATTTTCGATGTTTTAACGAGAAAAGCTTTTTCTGGTTAAGGGGTTAAATGTTGTGCTTCCATCCCCATTCATTCAGTCCCCTCTTCGTCCCCCTCTTCTCTCTTCAGTCCACTCTTCTCTATTTTCTCTCGTGCTTCACCTGCCTCGTATTTTCCTCCTCCATCTCCTATCTCTGTTTGTTCGTCTTTCACTTCTCACCAACTCCATTTCAACCACTGTTCTTTTGTTCTTCGCGCCCTCTTCAAGACGATCGTAACGCTGAAAGTGAAATTGCGAATAATACGCGCGACGACGACGGGTTCGAGACGACTTTAATAGGTGGCCCCGTCGTCCGAAATGTCCGTTTAATACCGGCTAAGTTGAACCGTTTCACTTGAGAATTAGATTTCACGGCTGATTATTAATCGCACCGGTGTTTCTATTAACGTCGTGCCCCGCCTCTGGAACGCGATGTAATTATTTAAACAGCCCTCCCGGGACAATTAGGCTAATTGCATCCGGTTAAGCGTCCGTTTCCCGACTTCACCGGGCTCTTTCTTCTTTTTCGGCCGTGTTTCGAAGAATTTTTCGCCTGGAAACTGTCCTGCCGAGCGATTTATTTTGGAGAACTCGTGAAATGCTCTTGATGCACTTTTTTAGGTGTGTCTGGTATCGAACTGGTGTCTATTTTTCCTTCTTTTGTGGGATATTTGTAATTTTGGGGGATGAAACATCCCTTCTGGATTTAAAATTTTTATTGTGTGAGGAGCAAGTGTGGCGGTTCGTGTGTTGTGATTGAGTCGTTGATGAAGACTGTAGATTATGGACCAGATACTTGACTAACAGTTTTTATAATTATTTAAACAATATAAAGGTCAGATAAGTAAGGGAATTTCGATGAACTGAATATTCTAATTGTTTGGGAACTTCGTAGGTCTGTAGGGGTTCTTAATAGAAGCATCATGTAATTTTCTTCTGCTACTTTCTGGTCTTTAGGTTGGAAAGACCGCTTAGGGTTAAAGAAAGAAAACATCCTATAACGTTAATGTGCGATGTACTATATTCTTGTTTATCTTGAAAACCATAACAGATATACAAAAAGTATTGAAACGAAAACTTAATGGCTTTTTATGTTTTCTCATACTATGGAATGCAATTATTAAAAATTTGTTGTTTAAATAAATAAACAACTATGCAAATTGAAAAAAAGTATGTTACACAGTTTTATAGAGTATAAAAAACCTTTAAATTTTCATCGCGTTAATTTTCTTATATTTACTATAGTTCTCAAAATATCAGGGAAAAAGGAAGCCACATATTAACCTTTAAGAGGTGTTTTCACCCTGAAGAACAAAAAAGTAGCAGAAAAAATTGACTGGTACTTTTGTTGTGGCTTCCCACAAACCTTCAAAGTTTAACAAAAAAATCAGAATTTTCGGGTTACCGCAGTTTCCTTGTAATAAAGTCATTAACAATACTTTTATCAAAAGCTGTCTGTGGACGTTTACAGACGTTCTAGAGTAATTTGTAATATCAATCATCATCAAGACAGAAATCCAATAGAAATTTGTTTAAGAAAATGAGGTAGAAAGTTTGTTAGAGTCGATTGAATATTTTATTCTGAATAAAAACGAAGAGACACTTTTTTTTAAAGAAAGTGTCTGTTAACCGGAGCGATTTTGATTCAATTACTGTGTAATTTCGTATCGATTAATAGCCCCATTAATTCTAACGAAATTGTGGTTTCAGAAATGGCATCCCGGCCTGGCCAAAGCGGCGCAGAGGTGGGCCAATCAATGTCTCGGCCTGGTTCACGATAACGCGACCGGGCTATATTTAGACGGTTTCGGGCAGAGCGGACAGAACATCTTCATTACCACAGGACGAACACTTTGGTAGGCAATTATTAAATTGAATTACTATTTAAACGTTCTCCAGTTTAATGGGTTACAGTGGCAATACATTTTCTATTATTAACTTACGAACTATGAAATGTATGTTTACTTTTATGTTGGATCTTTCACTGTTGTTCTGATAACAATAATTCATAACGTCAATCTTTAATTACTTCCAAGAGCGAAACATTTTCTCTTTTCAATAAACACATCCCACCACAGTTTTCTTTATCTACTGTCCACGGAGAATTAATTCACATTTTTCCCCCAAAAATTAAATTCTGTTAGAATCTACACCCATTAGACACTGCTCGAACGAAATTTCGCCAGAATTCGCGTGTTCCGTTTACACTTTTTCCAAGGCACGATAATCGAGTTACGTTCGGATTTACGTCGATGAATCATCTTTTCAGCGATTCACGCGCAATAGATCCCCCAAGGTACGTTACTGGCTGCAAAGGGATGATTGTTCCGCGGTGGCCGACTCGACCGCGGCATTCTGGCGCACGGTGTGTCGAATTCCGGCTGGCAGGTATCGCGGGAACGCGTGGAAGCGTCGAATCACGGTTGAATTGAGCCGGCGTCACGCCTCAATTAATCGAAATTTTTCGTCCTTCCCATGTGGCACCGGTTATTTGTAAAAGAATTCGATGGGAACCAGATTTTTCGATTCTTTTTGAAATCGTGGACCGTTGCGAGCTTGCAAGGAAATTTTATGGATGATCGGTTATTTTGTAGATTAAAGGAACAGCTGGTGTTAATTTACAGGTTTAAGCAACTGAGAATTTTATAGGTGAATCTGCTGTGCTGTTTGAATTAATTTTAAACAGATTTAGAAGGTTAATTAGGTTAGCTGTTAAATTGTGTTTGGTATCTTTTTTTTTTTTTACATTTTCTGTAAATCCCTGAGAATCTGCGGTTAATATTGCTTCTTGGCGTTTGTAGGAAAGAAAGTACATATTTTTCTATGGTAGAGCTTCTACTCTGAAGCAATAGAGTTTTCGGTAATGTATATTTATTGAGAGGGGTTATTACTAGACTGCCGATGTTTATGCGTTTATTGCATTTCTACATTGTCAAGGCATAGCAAAATAAAGATTTTAGTAAGATTAAGTACTCTTCAGACAAAAACAGATCATTAATACACGCAAAAAAACGTTTCAGACAAAAATTGATTACTTTTTTGCGTAGGTTAATGATCTGTTAAAAAAAATATAGGTATTGATTTACAAAAACAAAGCTGACTTTCAAATGACTTTTAAAATATTCACCAGACTAAAAATAAATAATGTCATTCTCTTTCCCCCTCAAAACAAACATTTGGATAAAATACTTTGTAATGAAATATTTTGTTTTTATGTTATTTCCGTATGTCAACTTAAATGCTACACCCTTCATAATTGGTAATAGTATTTGTAATCAGTATTTTGTTGTGATATCATCACTAGGTACACAATTTTGACAGTCAACGTATTAATAACCGAATGAAAACACTTTAGGTTAATAGACAAATTAGTTAGTCGATAGATTAATAGGCATTAACAGATCAAATCGTTGCCACTATTCGCTACAATCACAGTACCAACCCCGAACGGTGTTCTTATAAAGAGGGACCATTGTATATCAAGATGAAAATACTGCAAGTGACATTTCACACGATTTCTAAAGTGCCATGAATTATATATGAAAAGTATTGTCATACCTTTAAACGTTATTGAACAGTTCTGTCGTCCACTCTCCGCGAGTCGAAGACCACGGTGTCTCTCAGTGGAGAAGCCTGTTATTGTCCCGACGTGAAACTTTCGAACGATTCCAAGTTACAATACGCGGCTATTGTTCTATTCCCGTCTAACGATAAGTTGTGCGTCCGTGCTCGTTGCTCTCCTTCGGGAGCCACCTGTTGACGTCCACCGAACAATCGTCGCTGATGTCACTTCCGCGTCTTCCTGTGCCGCGAACAATACCCACGTAGCTATAAAAGCAACCGCCGTTGCCTTTTTCAATGGATTCCATTCGGTTCGTTCGTGTCTGAACTATTTTTAGGTTGTATTAACTTAATTATATTAACCCTTATATTAACTTAATTATATTAACCTTTATATTACCTTAATTATAGTAAACCTTATATTATCTTAATTATATTAACCCCCGCAACGGGAGATAACTGCTAAAAATTTTGGATTTTATTATAATTGAAAAAGATATTATTGAATCATAATAATTCCTATGTAAAGCGTTATCAATTTCCATGCGCGATCGGCTCTCCCCCGCGCAGTATGAAAGCGTCTATCAATCTACGTATAATATTGCAATTCGAATCTCGAAAACGGACACATATTTCATGTAAATTTATTTCAGTTGGACAGGTTCCGATCTATTGAAATCCAAATAACTGTCCTTCGTGTATCAAGTATTCATTCTATGGAAGTGTGCCATGAGGAGCACAAAATTATAGGAAGGAAATAAATGTTTCCTCATATGGAAGGAATAAATATATCCTTCTTCCTAATAGATACCAACCTAAAGCGTAATAAGACACTAAAAAAAAGGCTTAAAGAAAATGAATAATATTTATATTTATATTTTTTTTTGATATTGTCACCACGAGTCTGACTCGATGTTGTAAGGCAAGGGGTTAAAACACGTTCACCCTAACATGTCTAACGAACCTGGACCGTATTTACATTTCCAGGAACTTCCCGATCAGAATGTGGTACATGGAGTACAAAGACTACAAATACGGTGACGAAGAGTCGAACGATCTCCACGAGATCGGTCACTACACGCAGATCGCGTGGGCGACGTCGCACCTGGTTGGCTGCGGTGTCAGCCATTGTACCGGTGGCAAGGGTCCTCTTGGCAAGGATTTCTTCATGTACGTGTGCAACTACGCCCCAAGGTGAGTACCGATTAGGTTCTTAAAGTAGCAAACCAAATAAAAAAAACATGTGTACAGTAAATCATCGATGAGTGTTCAAAGGCTTGAACATTAAATATTTCATAAACTACCGTCCATATGTGCCTGAAACGAATGTCATTGGCTTCAGAATTCCATGCTCTATAACTGTGTTAAATCTCATTAAGAAGTCAACGTTACACCTCTCATTGTCAGTGCCGAGGAGCCCTCGAACACTCATCCAGGATTTACTGTTTCACACACGAATTTTCACGAACGGAATTCCCCAATTCTCCCGTCCCATTAGATCGCCGTTTGTTTTCCTTTACGATGGAAGACCCCGTTTTATGGCGGTTCGCGCGAGAACTTCAGGAGATAGAGAAAACGGTTTGAACGGAGAATAACAATCGCGATGCCAGTTTTCGGATGGTTTCCTTACCATTGAAACGTGCAGCAGCGCACGTTCTCTACGGGTTTCGTACGGCTGGGAACACTTCACTGCGCTGGGCTGCTTTAATCCTGTTGCCGTGCGGTTTTACGTTCTTACCGGACGGAATGTTTTCTCGATCTCTGGTTACGAAGTCTCGGTTATAACTTCGAATGTGGCTGACGTGTGTGCAGACTGTGAACGTTACGATGGTGGATATGAAATTTGATGTTTCATTCGGTTAGATTCATGGGTGTATGCATAGGGTAACACCTGAGAATTCTATACAGGGTGTCCCAAAATAGCTTCGACTTTCGAAAATAAGGGGTTGCTGGGATTATTTGAAACAACTTTTTCCTTAGCAAAAATGTTATTCGAGGCTTTGTTAACGAGATATTAACGAAAAACTCTGACCAATCAGAGTACGAGTCTGCCGGCCGAGCTTTGCTCTGCGATTGGTAGCCAACGCTACCGCAGGAAATCGGTCGGTAGACTCGCGCTCTGATTGGTCGGGGTTTTTCATTAATATCTCGTTAACAAAGCCTCGGATAACATTTTTGTTAAGGAAAAAGTTGTTTCAGATCATCCCAGGAAATCATTTCCGGGAGTCGAAGCTATTTTGGGACACCCTGTATGTACGGGTAACCCTGCTTATAACACTGTGGTTAGGTTCTTAAAAATTTCCGGGTTAAGAGAATTTGTTTTATATGACACTAAAAACTGCGTATATTAGATACAAGAAACAGGGTTAGGTTCTGAAAATAAAATTGTGCTATTCGACACAATTCAATTGTGAAACATTAGCATATTTTTATAATTCAATTTAAAATGTGTTGAATCTTCTTTTTCAAAATAAAAAGGTGTTGTAGGTCGTTAAATTTGTCTTGATATGCACTATAATGTTGCATTACAAAAAGCAGATGTTGATGTGCAAAAAATATGACTCTGGAAATTTAGAAAAACGATCTTGAGAGAAAAAAAAAGTCATGATTCACAATATTCGTCATTTTGAATCAAATAACTTTGTCTTGGCACAATTTTTTATATCGCTGCACGCAACGAAGATATTAACGGGCTAACTGCATTTGTCTACTATAGTAGACGCATATTTTATCACTTTAGTAACAATATTTGGAACATTTCTTGCCGATTGGCAGTAGAATACGTCTTGAAATTACATTTATACATTAGAAAAACGGTGTTACTGCTACAACTAGATTGTTATTTATCATGAGGGAGCACAATGTTTCTAAAAAAAATGCGTTTAATGTTTTAAGTAGTCTTAAAATGACTATTCATTCCTGATTTTAAGAAAAAAAAAAATTTATACAAAATACCATAAAGATGTGAGTGAGTTACAGAATCCGAGGTTAATGAAACACCCTGTATAAAAGATCGAGTTTAGAAGATCAGTTCGATTGAGACTAAGAAGTGTCATTTTAACATTCTAAATATACTGTTCGTCATCCACGTTATAAAATCAATAGTAATACTTCCACCTTGTTAAAAAAAAAACAGGGCAACCTACTGGTTTCTTTGATGCTTATTCTACTTAAATGGTGAAAAGCGTAGTTACGACTGTGAAAAGGCCACTTGTCTGGTAACTGGAAGGTTGCACAAAGCGGATAGCTAAAGCAAACGCGTATTACAATGCGTACCGGTAATAATACACTGGTCTATGGGCGTATATACAAGCTGTACAGCTTGTGTACATGCATTACCTTCGAGGCTCTCTTGTGACCGTTCATCCGTGCTCGCGTATCCCGCGTACCCGTCCACTTTCATCTCGGAGTTTCTGCTATTTTCGGCGGTTTTCGTGGTTTAGTTATTTCACAAATATCCAGACGAGGGTAGTTGTATATTCATTTTGTTTACGGGGGCCGCTTGTGCTCGTTTAATTTGGCTGGCTTCCAATTTAAATTCGAAGAACGTCTTAAAATGTTTGTTTTTGATTGGAACATAATGATTTTTTTATATAAATCCTTGGACGGCTCTCAGTAATTAAATTAGAATGTTCGAAGAGTTAATTAAACGGTAAACTGTAAATTTTTGGTAATTCATTGGTTTAATGTTTATCGAAATAACTTTCAGCCGTAATCAAATGACTGAAGGGTAGTTAGTTTTTTACAACTTTGACACTATAATATAATACCTGCCATACTACGATTTTCTCATTTCTGACTAAGTCAACTAAAGCCTTACAAATTTTCAGCTGTAATCAAATGACGTAAGATAAAAGTTCAGTGGCTCCCAGACTATAACATGCATTAAACAAAATTTAGTTTTGCAGGTTTGGCTGACTATGTTTGTTATATGAAACGAGCGCCGTCATCCCTGCGGTGGTAGTTTGTTTTTTAAATCCTCACAATTCGATCATTTGTATCAACCTGACGATTTTCCCGTAGATCATTGCGCGTGCACCACTCGAGTCTGGCTCTTCCATGGAGATTTATAGCGGCGGCTAATTATAGTCGAAGAGTTCGCTGCAGGAATCACGGGATTCGCGTGCTCGGACCGGAAGACCGCCGTGGGGGGAAGCATAATCCGGAAAATTGCGGCCGAGAAACAAATTTATGATGGTACTCGACGTCGGACCGCGCGGGCGGAAGGGGAAGGAAGACGGGGGCGCGTAATTTAAATTCTCCTCGTTCCTTGTTCTTTTTTTCCGTCTTTCTTTTTTTTTTTTTTTTTTTTTTTTTTTTTTTTCGTTCAACGTCGGTATCGCGTCGAGGAAATATTACGGGCGCGTACACACGCGCGGTATAGAGATAAATAGAGGCGGTGGACAGGACCGGAAATGAAATTACTGCGATATTAAAATGGAGGGAAGAAAATTTCGATTACGTCGAATCGATGGATCGAATGAGACGTGTCCGCAGGATTCCGTGAAGAAGAAGCGAATACCTTTATGACCTTTATGCCTGGAGTGAAAATGCGCCTTAATCTGTTAATTGGACGTGACCAGTTGGATCTTCGTTAGGAAACTTCTTTATCGCTGGTGAGACGAGTTAGCACGTTGAATGCTGGACGACTGTCGTGTGTTTCAGTCAGAGATGGGCAAATTCATTATCTAGTGTAATAAAAAGGGCAGCAGAAATAAAGTTTTCAACACACTTTTTGCACAAAGATTAATATATATTTGTTTGACAGATTCGTTCATCAGATGTTTGTCTGAGTTTATATATAATATCACAATCGAAGGTTCGAGAATTCTCCAGATCTTGTAGTACCATGAAAAGAGCTACATATACACTCGCCTCTATTCAAATGATCTGGTGAATTCCAGAAAATTCCTTGCACTAGATAAAGAGTTTCGAATAACGAATAGAAGATAAAAAAAAGTATTTCGCCATTTTTAATTAGTTACATTTGGAAATTCCAATTTTTAGAATAAAACAATATTATTTTTTAAATGAGTAGACACTTGGCAAACAATTATTTATTTTTAATAATTGTTTAAACGTGACGGTGACGATCTTAAATACTGCTGTTTTTCACAATATATTATTCGAATGAAATTGTGCCCAACTCTGGTTTCAGTTACAACGTCGAAGTGAGATCTTCGATGTACGAAATCTACAGGGTGTTTCGTTTATCTTGGAGTCCTTAATATCTTCGTTAATTTTACCGACACGAAACACTGTACCAGGACAGAGTTATTTGGTGGTCTCGGAGACGGGTCTGAATATTTATTTCACCATCGGCACCCCGTGAAGAATTTCAGGAGCTCTAGTATTTGAGTACCTTCAATTGACAGACGTAATAGTGAGCAACGTTCACTTGATTATCGAAAGTTTTGCGAATTAGTCGCTGTCGAACTATCCATGTCTGAATACGAGTTAATAATAATTTTTAAAAAAGAAAGAATTCCAAATGAAAGGTTCCAAATGAACAACGAAGTCCCCGTTTCCCAAAGGGTTGAAAGAAACTCGTCAATATTCCGGGAAATCGATGGTGCGAATGGGAGGACACGAAGTATCGTGGAACACTGAAATAGAAAACGCGACATGAAACGATCGAGATGGGGGCGAAAAGAAAATCGTGGAACAGAGAGGATTAATTAGAACGAGCCGGGGAAGACGAGTGCATTATGAAGGAAGAAAAAAACGAAGGGGGGGAAATGACACGGTGATAAAGCATGCAAGAATGAGCGCGGCCGGCCAGAGAATCGAGGGATAAAAGAACGGACGAGTGGAACCTGACAATTAGAGTACGGCAAATAGAACAAATGGCAGACAGAGGATTAAAGAGGCCTCGAAAGGCCGGATAAAAAGATGAGACTGCGACACAGAGAATTGTAGAGATGAATGGCGGAGAAAAGAGAGTGTACCACTGAAGCGAGCGACTGGTAACCACTTCAATAACCATACGTACACGGTGACGCGAAATGAGCGTAACGAAATTTGGAAGATATTCTCTCGATCTCTGAAAGAATAAAATTCCTAATGAACTGGGGTTAGAAACGAGATTCATTCGAAATCGATACATAAACGAATAAGCAAGAATTTATTTCGAATGTAAAATTTCAATTTTTAATGCTTTTTTAAATACTGTTTTGTTGTAACAAATAATTCAGAAGAAATTACATTTTTTTTTTGGCTACATCATACATACCTCGTATCGTGACTAGACTTTGGATGTTTATGCGTTTATAGGATCTCTTAATATTTTAACGCCTAGACGCTTAAATCGTTATTTCCAAATTATGATACACAGGGTGAATCACGAATCGTTATCAGTAGAGATTAATCTGTTATTGGCAGTCTGATCGAAAATGTTTTTATCAGGTATAGCATGGTTTCGAGAGAGCTTTAACGTGATTGTAGTACATTTTTTGTCGACTCTTTTTTTTCATGATTTTTCAAGGTCACCTTCAATTTTTTGCAAATACAACTGTAACTTTTTTACGCCTATCTGTTAGAGGATTTCAAGACGAATTCGGTAAATATCATAACATAACTTTTACCTTAATTTTTTAATTATATATATTATATTAATTATTATATAAAAGAACAATAAATTAATAAAATTGACAACAAATTTGCTATAAACACGTTAAAGCTCTCTTGAAACCATGCTATACCTGATGAAAACATTTTCCATCGGACTGCTAATCACAGAGTAATCTCTACTGATCACGATTCGTGGTTCACCCTGTATATATATATATTTAATTATTTATTTATTTATTTATTTTGGCTTCACAGAGACCTATAGGCTATAAATGCATGAAGTCCGCAGTCTCTTATTAAAGTTTAATGCCATTTGTGTTATTATTAACACTTTGAAGCCTCTGGTACAGGAAATAAAATTCTGTCCACTTTTCGGTTTCACCTTAAAAATGTCTAATTTGCATAAACTTCCGGGGACCGGTCATAACAGTCGTGTATATGGACGAAAATTGGACGGGAAAAGGAGAAAGCTAGGATGCGTGAAATATAGAAAAAGAGGGGAGGGGGAACCGTGATAAAACGACGGAACGAGTCGTCGAGAATATCAGATTGGGGACAATGGATCTTTTCGAACGGATTTAATACTCGATTCGAAGGCGGGCGACTGCTGGTCCCATAAAATCGCGCAGTCGCTGCCATGAATCGCGGGTGCTCGGTACGTCTGGGAGTATTTCGTGGAGAATTTTCGAGCGTTACGCGATCTTTCTCGCGTAGTTTCGGGGTCAATGTTGATATATCGCGGGACTTAATCGTCGTCGGGAGTCCTTGAAGCTTGGAAAAGTTCCTGAACAAAGAGAGACAAGAATGGAAGACCCAGACGTCTTGACTCTACTCGTGCGAGCGTTTAAACGACGCGAGCTGTAATGCCAGAAACTTGACCGGGCTTTTCGTGAAATTTTACTACGAATTTCGCGTAAAACTCCCACACATTTTTAGACGTTTAAGAGAATTAGCAGACATTGATTTCAAATCCCTTGTCTACTTTCATGGGCGTAGCCAGGGGGGGGGTGGGGGCAAAAATATTAACACATCAACTGCCACAGTGAAAAAGACTGTACGTAGCCAGACACACTTTATTTTGTTTTTAAAGTCACAAATCGTTGAAACTGTATCCGTTTTGTTAATAGAAACTGTTGCTCGTGTTTCAAATTATATTGCAATATTAAATATTATGCAAAAATGTTGTAACTTTAGGATGGGCGGGGGAGGGCGGCAAAATTAATTTTTTTTTCTTGTAGGGTGGGGCAAAAGCCACTTTTTTCCGTCCAGGGGGGTGGTAAGTGCTGCCCCCCTGCCCCCTGGCTACGCCCATGTCTACTTTAACCCTCGTGGACTGTTCAAGAAATTGTCATAAACCATAAATTGTCTTAGCATATAGGAATTCAAATTATTCAGTACTGGACTTAACTTTTTTAACACTAGAACTACAGATAATAAATGTATGTCTGTTTCCATCGAATCGATAAACACGACAAACTTTTAAATATATAAAAAAATGATAAATTAACTAATTCCTCCGTTTATGTATTACGATGAAAATTACAAAAGATCAGAGATAATGTATTTTTCTAACGTTTCGACCGTCGTTGTAAGAATATACTAACCAAGTCATTTTGCCTGATTCGGTAGTTCTAGCGTCAATATAAAAGCGATAATATTCAAATGTAACACAAAAAAAAGGGACAAATTATGTTTGTCTTGAAAATAATTCAAGGTTAAAAACAATTCATTAAGAAATTCATCGATACAGGAATCGTTTTCGTCGATTGCGTCGCAAATGATTTCGTCGTGTGGAATAATTCTGTTTCGCGGGGGGACGTTTAATTCTTTAAATTCGAGTCACAATTCGCCCCGCAGAGAGTAATAAGTAAACCATGTCACGCGTCCAGCCATATTTTTTCCTTCCGTGCCCGGAGGCGCGATCTCGTAATTAATTTCACGAATACACCAGGGTCCGGCCATTTGAATCCAAAACACCGTGCGATGATTGCGGTTGGGACGACTCACGAAAAATACTCTAAATGTAAATTAATTGTATCCGCGGCTACAGTTTGGGAATTCGTTTAAGACTTTGCTCCTGTGCGTTTCGGTGATGCGATGAAAAGGGGAAGTCAAGTCGATTAGAAGAAGGTATAATGGACGAAGTTTTACAGTTTTCTGCAATTTAGAGATTTCTATGTGGGAAAAGCGTGTACGTAAAGGAGGCAGAGTAATTAATATTGCAACCTGCAACACCTCAGGCGCAGTAAAAATGTAGTTATGAAATAGATCTACTTGACTTGTAAATCGTTTTATTATATTACTCAACTAAATTTTAGTATCGATAAAGGATAAGTTACTAAATTACTCGCCACTCGACTAAATTACTGGACGTCTCTGAACGAGCCTTAAGTAACATTCGGATAACAGAGGAGAACAGTGAATCTGTTGCCAGAGACTTAAGAGTTGATTTTGAGTAATTTCATGCTCCTGATCCTGAATATGCCATTATATTTTCTTGATTGGCACTAGTTTTTGAGATCTACATACATGTCTTAAATATTTATGCAAAATAAGGAAAGAAAATGAATTAATTTTATTTACAAAATGCTACAAGAAGAGACAGGATAATTACATAGAAAGTATTAGAAAGTTATGAAAAAAAAATACACAAAAACAAAATAAAATCACTAATTTTATTCTTTACTTTGGAAATCATTAACCCAAAAGTAAACAAATTTCACAAGACGGTTTTGAAAGAAGGTTAGGTAACAAAAAAGCAAAAGTAGCTAAAAAATCGCCACAAACGTTAAATTTCAACAGTTCCGATTACTTTGAAAATCACAGCCAATTTAGTTAACCCTCGGAGTACGAACGTTTTTCATGTTCGTAAAGACAGTGGTGTCTGGATCCGTTTGAAACCCTGTGCTTGCTTCTTTTTAAACAAACTTTCGACCGCAATTATTAAGAAACACCTGTTATATTTATATGACACTATTTTTTAAATTTATATTTTAAACACTCGGGTCCGAACGGACTCGGTCACCGTACTCCGAGAGTTAAACCGAAAACGTAACGCGGCATAAGGATCCTCGAGTACTCTGAAACCGATCCGTGACAAAAATTTTTCTTTCGTTCTCCAGTGTAATATCGATGTTCCCCTGTAACTCGGGACAAGAAATTGACTCGTGAACGAACCTTTTGCAGCGGCAACTACAAGGGTCACTTGGGCCATCCGTACGTGGCTGGGAAACCGTGCAGCATGTGCAAGGACCATTGCTCGCGCAACAAGCTCTGCACGAACGCCTGCTACTACACCGATCTATGGTCGAACTGCGCCGAATTGGTAAGGACGTTTCGCGAATGGGTCTGCGAGACGAACACAAAAGAGGGACGGGAACGACGGAAGTTTTGCGGCGCCACTTGCAACTGCAAGGACAAGATCTACTATCGTCACGGGCAGTGAAGAAACGCGATCGGTGCCGATGACCCCGTAATTCCTTCGCGGATCGCACATCGGCCACGTCGGGATCTATCGTCTCTCGTGGCCGAAGTCACGGATATTGAAAGGTACGAGATCATTTTTAAAGATTTAAAAAATCGTGGTGGTACACCACACGGAGGTAACTTCTGGGTGCTCGCCGATCGCTGTCCTATCGTAGATCATATCTTGTAGATCCATCGATGAACAAAGGGAAACCGGAAACGGTTTAACGAGACGATCTTCGGTCACGTAGCTCTGTTAACCATCGTGTACTTTTTCTCATGTGTTTTCACAGTTTAATTTTTAATCGTACTATTTTCTTGTAGAAATTTTTCGATAGTGTCACCTCTGTATACCACTTCTTCTTTTCCTTCGAACCTACTAGATTCTTCAATAGAGAAAAAAAATCTGTCGTTACATGAAATTTCAGTAAATTAATCCGTAAAAAATTCTATATTTCCATAAACATCTACAGTCTAATTATTATTATACGATGCAATTATTTTTAATCAGTTATCACTAATAGTATTATCAACAGTACAACAGTATTATCACAATCGGCTACGTGGCCAGGAGAAGGTTTCCCTTTGCTCGACAATCGTTTTTCGACTACGTCGCCTTGGATAATCGGCGACAATAACAACAACAAAAACAAAATGTCTATTTTTTTGCGAACGCCCCTCGTGGCTCGCCTTTCGGAACCGTTGCTTTCGGCGTGCCGCGAGAGGTTGCGAAGAAAACGAAAGACGGAGCCCTGTCGCTTCGAGTATCGGGGCGGAATCCTTTTAATATTTGTAAACAATAAGGGTGTCTATGTAAATGTGCATGCGGTTGTGTACATACGTTATACGTGTGAGGGAGGATAATTGGACGGGAGGCGTTTCTCGGCGTTGTTTAATTCGTCGTCGTTTGATTCTGAACGCTCACGAGCCGTCAATAAAGACGATCCCACCTTCGTGTACGGTGACCGAGTCTGTCTTGACCCCTGCAAAAGCCTTGAAAAGTTTGATCCCATTTTAAGGTAGATTTCTTTCCGTCGCATTTACTTTGCATTATAGTGATCAGTTTTCTGTTAAAAGTGAGGCAAAATGTTATAAACGTATGCTATTAATTTAATATTTTTTACTTAACATTAGAACTACCAAAGAAGTTGAAATGACTGGTTCGTAAAGTCTTATAAAAATGATGAAAATTTCGTAAAAGTGTATTTGCAGAAATTCTTCGTAACTTTTATTGCAATATATACGTGAAGAAGTTCGTTAGTTTATCGATTTGCAATATTTTCAACAATATTTCCATCTTCAGTAGTTCTAGTGTTAAAAATGGCAACACTACATTTGTACAGATTTTTTTTATATAATAGCAGCCTTTGAAAATTGAAATTTTGATGAACATTTTTCTACGAACTAAATGTTCAAATACATATATTAATACTCTTTCCAAAATAAATTTAATTCTTTCCTAAAAATGTTGTCAAACTGACCACTCTGCGTGTGTTTCTTTTTTTTGTTGGTAAATATTATTGTTGCAGAAGGTATACTGTAGGAGTAATAAGTTTGCAAATTGCAGAATAACATTTTGTTGCGAGTTATTGATAATTGTTTATATTTTGAGATGATCCATCGTACAAGGAAATATCTTTTTAGCAATTCTTCCTTTTGGTGTGTCAGAATATTACCTTTGTTGGTCAGAGATCAGTTGCTAACACCTCGTTTCGTTGCTAGCATAAACAGTTCAGCCACTGTGGGAGTTATCGATCTGAACTTGGCGGGTCTTCGATAACCCAGCCTTTGTTGACCGAGGGTTACTTTACCTGCTTCATTAAATTCGGAATTTTTGTCTTCAATGCTTCATACTGCCATGTACACAATACCTGATTTTTCTAAGTTAATTCACGAGTGTGACAGCTTTTAATAACATTTTGCAAGTGAATAAAATTCAGTATTGGTTTTATACGATAATATAGTATAAACAAATATAGTATATGTGACGTGGAATATTTTCTTGGTCTTCTTTTGCATCATCTTCAATTCTAGCTTCATTATACCAACTTAACGTCGCTTTTTCTATCACTTCTCTTCGTCTCCCTCATTTAAAAAAATATTACTATGTTTTTTTTTTTCATTTGTGGGAAAGAAGCACATTACCGATAATTTGTCCTTTTATCAAAAGAAGGTTTATTCTTTTTCATTTTATATTTCGCTTTGACAATTAAAGTAAATTTAGTATGGGTGGGTGATATACGTATGACTGGTAATGTATATTCCTTTCAATTTGTAATTGAGATTTATAAAAATGGCGATATTGGATTGAATCAAATGCGAACTCAGATTTTATTGACGGTGTCGTGTGCTGCCTAAACCTGGGACTAAAATGTATAAATGTAAGAGGAAGCTCTGTCTAAAACGTGTCTAGAAACGTAAGTTCTAAGATAGTCAGTGTATGCACAAAAATTATTACGCTGGACTATTTCCTCGTGATGTTCACTGGAAATTATTCGGATCGCTTACGAATGCATACACACGAGACAGACACAGTAATTCCTTTTTATGGACATAAAAATGTCATAAAATCCTACAGTGGCAAAAAATGAGAAATTATTATATGTACTAACTAGGGCAGTATTAAAAAATATGAATTTCAGGATTGACGCAAATGTCTTACTCGTTATCCTTTTATAATATTTTTATAAAGTGAAGAAATATTCCGTAGTTGCATAACAAATGGTCCTTTTAGTTAATTATTAGATTTGTTTTCGCAAATACATACTTTTTTAAGCTTTTTCAAAATATGTCAATACATTCAAAATATTGCAAAAGTATTCGTTAAATTTCTTCATAGACGCAGCAATTTCCAAATTACAGGCTGAATACGTAATCCAATTTTAAAAATCCTTCACTATTGATTAAAACAATAATTCCAGACCCTACATTTTGTATACTAACACATTACTTTCTCCCTCTCCTAAGTGTATATAACATATCTTTATTCAATTCACGAGAATCTACTTTGTATATTAAACTTTATTTGTCATATTACCGTGAACAGTGAATCTCCAATTAATGCTCAAAACTCGGGACCACTTTGGAACAGTTATCGTAAAGGGGCACAATTTTTGCATCTCATAAATTTCGGGTCGAGTCTCGAGAACTCGCTCAACAAAACTTAAAAGCCTGCGTATTACTGAGACAACACTAAGGAAACGATGAAAGTTCTTTTTTATTTTCGATCTTTTGTTAATGAAAATTTGAGTGAAGCCATTACTCGGTTGACTGGTTCCAAGGGGTGTCCCCCAAGAGTGGAAATGAAACAGAAGCATTTATCGTACAGATCTTTCCGAGCATTTATCGAGACTATTTACTGTACCTCTCAAATTTATTTTCTATATTAACAAAAACATGAAAGATCTACTTTTATCAAACATAATAATTTATTACCAACTCTGTTCCAATGTAAATTTAGCATTTCTGTTAAATTTTCTAGACAATATTAAGTATACGTATGTCTGTATCAATCGAAAAATGAGAACAATAATCTCCATTAAATGTGAATGCATTCGTGAGTGCTCGACACGTGAGAAGTAAATATGGATTTTTCGAGCGAAACATTGTTTGTAATATCGTCTGGTGTGATGTCGTAACTTAAAATCTTTAATCCCGGAGACGCATTGAATTACCTTTCTAGGTCTTGTCTGTTCGGTGCGTTCCAGAGGTAATATTTTTCATCGTGTTTTACCGTGTTTCGATTTCGTGATTGTAACACGGACCTGAATGAGAGAGGGCCCGGTGTAAGGTGTGAATGGTCTATATTAAGTAGCTTTTTGGCTTTTGACAGTCGAGTCAAAGAAGAATCTTCAGAGGAAAGAATGTGCGAGCAGAGAATGTATACAATATAATAGTGTATAGAAGTAGCCTGTAAGGTGTATACATATAATGAACGACGTTAAATAAGAACAATTATATGCAACACGTGACGTAAAGTTGTGAATAATAGGAGACACTTAATCCTGTTAAGTATTAGTTAAGAGGTTAATGTTACACGTAACCATGTAATATGCCGTGTTAACGCAACTTCGAGCGAAACGTTGTAAGCTGTCGTACTTTGTTCACTTACCGAAATAAAGATTCTGTAAATATTAATCGTCGCTTTTAATACAATTAACGCGACCGAAAGTTTCTTACTTTATCTTCGATCGCAGAATTTTCGTTTCTCTTTCTTGCATGACACTTCTTTAATTAATTTCTAGCACGGTTTCCTCTTCGATTCATTGTTTTTTTTTTACCGTCAACATTTCGATAGACAAATATAGTTAATCTTTCGGATTGTTTCTCCTCACAACTTTTCGTTTTACAGAGATTCTTTTTTTTTGACTTTCACACCTTATACAGATGTCCCTGAAAATGTTGGATATTTTTGAAGGATCGATAATGTACAGGGCGCAAACGCAATGGTGGCACAACGGGACAACAGTGGTTTCTCGGAAAAAAGGTAAATGAAAAACTTTAAATAAATCTCTCTATTCAAAGCGTCGATTTCGCGAAAATCGACTTTGAAAATTCATCTGGTATACATAAACACAGAACATAGAAACGGTTAGCAATGAACAGACTTGTTAGTTGAATCCTATTCAATAAACCCTAAACTATATTCTGAGTCATTTTCCCGAAAATAAAGTAATGTAATTATTGTTCTTATTGCTGTTATTGTTGTTGACGAGTTATTTCTGTTGTGATTATTTTTATTGCTACCGCTGGTACTGTTGTTATCCTTACGTTTCACAAGGAATGTAATTTATTATAATTATCTCAATGTAGAAATATCACTTGATCCCTTTAAACTAATTGCAAAACTTGCAAAACGTTGACATAATTTTTTCAAAGGGATGCAATTAACACCTGAAAGTCGCAACAGCAAGAACTTTATGAAAAAGAATATTCCTGCAACGCAATTCTATCTCTAATTTTATTCTCTGAAACAGTCTC